CCTACACAACCTTAACCTTAACTTAATTTAATTACTACCTTAACCTTTAACCTTAACTTAAATTAAATTAAATTAGTACACTACACACTACACAAGACTCTCTCTCTCTCTCTCTCTCTCTCTCTCTCTCTCTCTCTGTATAATCACATAGACCAACAAAATTCATTATTAGTAATAATTAGAAAAACCAACAAAATTCATTATTAGTAATAATTAGAAAAACCAACAAAATTCATTATTAGAAATAATTAGAAAAACATATCGGGGACCCGGACCTGTATCACCCTTATCCGCGGAGGATCGGAATAACTTATTACCAATCTAACCCCAAACACCATCTCTTTACGGTCTACACAAAATTCGGTGGTACAATATTAGATATTCACCATTAAGAAACCACCACTTCCAAAAACAGAGATTAATGGCGGATATCAACTCACAAATCAACAAAATATACAGAGACAATATAAGGCAAGAGCAAAACACTCTGCAGACGATCATATGATAAGTTGAATATTCTAAAATAAGCACCATGTCGATACAAATGAAGAAATAAAAGAAATAACTTAAATATTATATATTTTTCATATTTACTTTTAAGAGAAAAGGAAGACGAACAAGAGCAGATACTCTGCATTAATAATAATGCAATTCACATGAATTCACTCTTCTCACTCTGTATCAGAAACAAGATGATGAGGAGTAACAGGTAGAGACAATACAAGGCAAGAGCAAAACACTCTGCAGACGATCGTATGATAACTTGAATATTCTAAATAAGCACCATGTCGATACAAATGAAGAAATAAAAGAAATAACTTTAATAATATATATTTTTCATATTTACTTTTAAGAGAAAAGGAAGAGGAAAAAGAGCAGATACTCTGCATTAATAATAATGCAATTCACATGAATTCACTCTTCTCACTCTGTATCAGAAACAACATGATGAGGAGTAACAGGTTCATCACTATCAGAAACAAGATGACGAGGATTAAGAGAATCATGCATACGAACCTCAGACATGATTTTCCGCAAACCAGGCCTCAGCTCTCTGTCGCAAAACTCCTCGTACTCTCTTCGATCACCCCCTGTCTTCTTCACCTCGACAACAACCAAATCGGGTGTCAATTCGAAAATCTCGGCTGCAATTTCCAATTTCCCCTTCTCTCCCTCTCTTCCCCCTTCCAATTTCATACCACAACTCTCCTTTTTCCTCACTGTGAAGCTCACAACTTTTGCAATTTCCTCCAATGTTGATATAATCGAAGTCACAGGTGCACCAGAAACGAACCTTGCCTCTTCCCCTTTGTTCTCTTCGAAAAGTCCTGACAAATCGAAACCTGGAGAAAATGAGATGATATCAAAGGCATTTAGGCTTGCTGGTCTTGGAAGGCCCCTGGGCTTCACTGGAACATCAGCTGAAAATTCCCCATCGCTCTCCGAGCACTCTCCTGAGCTCTCCACTGCATCGTCTGCTTCTTTGAAAACTCGATCATTTTCTATGTAGAATTTGACCTGCTTAAACCCCTTCTTGAACCATCGATTTTCCATGATCTCTGGTATTGTAATCCTGGTCTCAGGGTTAGTATCCAAGAGCCGAGCGAGCAGTTTGGAGAGATCACTTGAAAACCATTTAGGGCACCGGAATTCACCCTTGTAGATCTTCTTATACAGTAGCATAACATTCGGATCATTAAAGGGTAGGTAACCTGCCATCAAAACGAACAGGATCACGCCACAGGACCATATATCGACCTTTGCTGCATCATAACCCTTTTTTGACAGGACCTCTGGTGCTACATAGGCAGGAGTTCCACAAAATGTGTGGAAGAGACCATCTTGCCTGATCTGATCAGACACAGCACTAAGTCCGAAATCCGAGACTTTCAGGTCTCCATTTTCATCTAGGAGGAGGTTTTCAGGCTTCAAATCTCTGTGATAAACGCCTCTAACATGGCAGAATCCAACTGCACTAATCAGTTGCTGAAAATACTTTCTTGCCGTCTCCTCTTTGAGCCTTCCTTTGGAAACCCTGTTAAAGAGTTCCCCTCCTTTCACATACTCCATTACAAAGTAGATCTTCACCTTTGAGGCCATGACTTCGTAGAGCTGGACTATGTTAGGGTGCCGGACTCGCCGAAGGATGGCAATCTCTCGCTTAATGTGAGACACAAGGCCTCCTTTGAGGATCTTCTCTTTGTCAAGAACTTTGATCGCAACGCTCTGACCTGTTTTTGCGTTCCGAGCATGGTAGACCTTCGCGAAGGTGCCATGGCCAAGAAGCTTTCCTACCTCGTATCGACCAAGGAGGAGACCTTGTGCTGATTTTTTTAGCTGCTTCTTTTCCTCTGCCATCGATGAGCTAGTGGTTTCTATTCCTCTGTAAATCCGCCATTAAAGCTCTTGATTCAAGGTTTGTCGATTTCTAGCTGTGATCGCGAATTCGGTGAAATCTTCAATTCAAGCCTCCTATGATGCTGGACAACAGAGGAGCTGTTCTGGCTTGGACGGATTAGGGTTTTGTATCAATACCGAGGAGCTGTTTTGGCATGGATAGATTAGGGTTTTGTTTTGCCGATCCACCATTGCAACGTTTGTTTGAAGAGGGAAAAAAGTCCTTTAAGGGTTAACGGCAGATGGCGACGGCGACGGTGACGGTGACGGACTGTTTCCGTCACAGACGAATGCCGGCCTTTCTCTTGCCTAACAGAGATGAGAGAAGAAGAGGAGCTGGAGAGTTCTAAATTATCAAATCTTTTGGTTATAATTAATGGAAATGGACTTAATTGGAAAAGCACAAACTATTCATTTTTAATAGGGCCCGGTTTCTATGCGGCCAAGCCCGCATATGTAGAAATGCGGGCTTATTAATAAATCTAATTTGAGATCGATTTTTTATATAATTTTTAAAGACATGTAATCTAACATTAATATCATAAATATGGAAAAATAAGTAAATTTTTAAAACTAAAAATAATAATCCTAATAAAAAACATTTGGACGGTCAGTTTTCATTGTATTTAGATAGAACACCACTCATATCCATCTTTAATATTGATGCTTTACACTTTTTTAGACTGCATATGTAGTCGACCCAGCCCGCATGAGACAATTTCCCTTTTTAACATAAAGAGTCAGGAATGTTTTTGTCCATCCGATTTTAAATCAAGTAGTTATAAGTATGCAATTGGCTAGTCTTACAGTGAAATTTTTTTTTCTAAAACTCGCTCTCGCTCCAAACTAGTGTACGAAACAACTTCTTGAGTCGAGTACTCTGCCCATGCCATAGTCGA